CACCATGAGCCCAGGTTGTCATCAAATTGACAAACAGGCGTGGCCCTGGATGGAGCAAGTGCAGCAGATAGTATGGGAAAGAAGGTGGCTAACAAGAACTGGTATGTGCAGAAGATGAACGAAAACTGGCAAAAGTACATCAAGGCAGGAAGAACGGCAAAGAAAGCTGTCAGAGGCCAAAGCCAATCACTATCGAGACTTATATTAACTGGACACAAAGGAAGGCGAGAAAATCATCTATCAACTAGCGAAAATATGCACCAACGTGGCAAAAGACATTGAACACTAGATGTCCTGTGTTAAGGACAAAAATGGATGGCAACTGCAAGATAAGCTCAAAATCCTGAAGCGCTGGCAGCAGCACTTTGACAAAATCTCTAATGTTGAATTTCCATACCCATCAATTCCTGATGGCTTGGCTAATGCTGGCTCAATCCTGCACATTACACCTGAAGAGGTTACCAAAGCTATCAGTGGCATGAAGAATTCAAACGTACCTGGCCTGGATAATCTACCAGCAGATGTCTGGAAGTTGAAAGAACTTCGCGGCACAACAGGTGACTGGCTGACAAACTTTGTCAATGCCATTGTGGACTCTGGCCACACGCCTGCTGACTGGGCCATGACTATCACAGTTCCCTTCTTCAAGAACAAAAGCAACCCAGCAGACTGCTCCAACTACTGACCAATCTACCTCCTGTCGCACTCAATGAAAATTTTTGAGCAGATCCTCAACCAGTGCCTCTGTGATACTGTTGACATCAGTATCAACCAGTGCAGTTTTGCCCAGATCCTTTAAATGTTCCTCATAGTGGTTTCCAGACCCTTCATTATACTGGTAGCCCTTCTCTGAACTTGTTATGACACTGTCCATTTTGAACTGTGGTGAATTAAGCATAGAACTCCAGAGGGGGTCTGGCCAGGACAGAATAGACTGGAACAATTACTTCCCCTGATCTAGATCCTATATTCTTGTTAACACACCCCAAGAAAGGATTTGCCTTTTTAACAGCTGCGTCACCCTACTGGTTCATGTTTAACTTGTGATCAGCAAGGATACCTAGAACCTTTTTACATGTAGTATTGCCTATCCACCATTCTTACATGTGCCTTACATTTTCTTAAACATTACATTCTATTTCTTTCTGTTAAATTCCACCCTATTTATTTCAGCCCACTGTTCAAATAAAACTATATTCAACTTTTGCCCCTCATTCCTTCAAGTATATGTAATGATCTTTCAAAATTAACTGTCATTATTAGATTTCCATATATATGTAAAAGTAATTATTCTCTTGCTTTATCCAGTTGGGACACGACCTACTCTTAAAATCAAGATCTTTGATGTTTGTTTCTAGTATTTTACTTCTTAAAGGGGGGACATGCTTGGTGCAAACATCTGAGTTACCTGAAGACACCTTTTATTTACATATCTAATTTTCCTAAATTTCAAAGCACAATAGGAATGAAGGTGCAAGCAATTTAATCATTTCTCCCATTGCTTCTGTTTCTGAGGATGCTTTTTTCCCTGCCCAGTTTTTCATGATAAGGCAAGGTTCCTGGATATTCTAATGCTAAATGGCAATTGTAGAAGTTAGATGCTAGTTTCCTTTTGGCAAACACTAGAACTGGAAGTAGGTGCCAGCAGGCAATCAAGAATGCAAGTCTCTAATAAGTAAATTTATGGCAAAAATTAATGAATCCTTAATGAAAGATTCATTAATTTTTGCCATTAAATGAAATGAAAGAATTCCAGCAACTGCTATGCACTAAAGTCCTATTTATAGTGAAATTAAGATTCAAATTCTTGTGCCTTTAGTCCCAAATGCTCAGAGAAATGGGCTTGAAGCTTTTCTGTGTTGGGTGGGACTTGTGTGGTAACATGCTAATCAGTTTTCAGGTGGTTTGCTTTTGACCTTGGCAGAAATAGCTCTCACACCAGGCCATTTAGACTGCAGAAAACATTGCCTGCTTTGGGGAAAAAACAAAAACATTATTATAGAGGTAGTCTTCGCTTAATGACCACAATTGGGACCTGCAACTCCATCACTAAGCAGCACGGTTGTTAAGCGAGACATCACATGACAGCGACTTGCGACTTTACTGCTGGCTTCTCCATTGATTCTACTTGTCAGAAGCCAGCTGTGAAGCGTGCAAACGGTGATCACATGACGCCAGGGACACTGTGACTGTCATAAGTGTAAGGACTGGTCATAAAGTTACTTTTTCAGTGCTTTTGTAACTTTGAACAGTCGCTAAGCAGGGCAGTCGTTAAGGGAGGTCTACCTATGCAGCTTTTCTAAACCTACCCTTATACAGAATTACGAGAATGACATACAGGAAGAGCCTGAGCAGTAGAGGGATAAGTTTTATCTATGTAAAATTAAGAAAGAACATAATTGTCATTATATAAAATTAAAACAAAATTCCTTCAAAGAGATGGAAAACATTTTGCTTTACCATTTAGGTCCTTTTAATTCCACTTGCAATATCACTGACTAAAGAACTTTCTCCATTTGCCACTATCATGCTACAAACATGCTCTGGCAACATTTTTTCCCTCTCATATTCCTATATGTAGCTTCAATCTCATCATCAGCCCATGAGTGAAATAGCCTTAAGCCATCCTTAATTATATCAGGGTTTATGTAGGGTTTTCTCCATTAAACATGAATGATATTGCGAGATGGGTAAAATTTGTTATTTTTAACCTGGTTAACCAGTAGTAGTGGGGATCAGAAGAGCAGAACAACATTTACTGGCCCATGTCAGATTGATGGGGTCATGCTCCCTCCCCTCTGGTCCCTGATCAGCCTCATTTGTCATCATTCTGCTGTTGTTTCCCTAAGGAGCTGAATACAGCAGCACAATGCTGATGTATTCTCAGAATTACACAATAGGGTTAGACTGCTTAACCAGCAGTATTGTAATTGCTTTAAATTTATGACCTCAATTGGTTTAGCGGGCTGAAAGTGTGAAACAGGAACAACCCATTCCCCTCCTGTTTACACAACAGCATGGAGGAATCTAGGACTAAAAGTGCTCTTCATATCTTCAGTCTATGTTGTGTGTGTGTTTTTTTAAAAAATTTATTCAGCTCAGTGTATGTTAGAATGGGGTCTATAGGAGGAAGGAAACAGGAAGAAGCCTAAAAACGGACAGCCATACAGCTGGACCTGCCCGATTCCTTTAGGGAGAGGCCCATGCAATGGTGTTAGCCTCTCTGAGAGAAGGGGTGGTCCCACCAACCTTGAAGGAGACAGTGGTGTGCCCCTTTCTCAAGAGACCATCACTGGACCCTTCCTTTCTAGACAGTTTTTCAGTCTCTAACTTTCCCTTTATGGGGAAGGTTGTTCAGAAAAAAGGTTGACAGCAGTTGCAGAGGGTCTTGGAGGAAGTATATTATCTAGATCAGGCCAAGGTCAGTACTGAGACACCATCGGTCATGCTTGTTGATAACCTTTGGCGGAGCCAGGATGGGGGTGATGTGTCCATCCTGGTGCTCCATCTTTCAGCAGCCTTCAATACCCTCAACCATAATATCCTTCTGGACTGGCTGCAAGGGTTGGGAGTGGGGGGCACCGTGCTGCAGTGGTTCGTCTCCTTCCTCAATGGTCAGTTTTAGTCAGCATTGACAGAGGGGAGAGGTCATGCCCACAGCCCCTCATGTGTGAGTTGCCTCTGGTTCAACACTCTTGCCCCTCCTGTTTAACATCTATATGGAACTGCTGGGTGAGGTCACCTGTCAGCTCAGGGTCCAGTATCAGCCGAATGCTGATGATACTCAATTGTACATATCAACCCTGGGCTGTGCAGTTCTCCATTCAAAACTAGTGTGCAATTTGGGGTCCACCTGGACTCAGCCACTGTTCAAAGAGCAACTGCTACACATGGTAGATCTTTGCATAGGTCCACCACTTGCACCCCTTCCTTGACCTGGAGGTCCTTCAGATGGTTACTCATGGCTTAGTCACTTCACGCTTGGACTACTGCAATGTGCTGTACATGAAGCTAAGAACTGTACATGAAGACCATCTGGAAGCTAGAGTTGGTTGAAAATGCAGTGGGGTGGGCAGTAATGTGCACTTCACTTTACACCCATGTGTCATCACTGTTTTGCAAACTGCACTGATTAGCAGTGAGCTTTCAGGAGCAATTCAAGGTGTTGGCTGTCACATATAAGCTTGTCATAGCATAGCATCTGGTTATTTGAGGGACTGCTTGTCTCCAATTGTTTCTGCCCATCTGGTACAATCTGGCCGAGCAGATGTGCTCTGGTCCCTTCAGTCAAATGTTGTCATCTTGCAGGAGTGAGGAAGTGTGTTTTCTCTGTTGAAGCATCTGCCTTCTGGAACAGCAGCCCCCCAGAGATACAAAGAGCTCCCACTCTTCAAATCTTAAGTCTCTGAAGACCTGGCTGTTCCCAAACCTGGGATTAGGGTGTTTGTGAAGCCCCTGACAAATTTTTCTGCATGTTATTCATGTGGTTTATCTGGGCAGTCATGTTCTTTTTAAAATTATGTATTATTTTAAATATTGTAAGCTGCCCAGAGTTTTTGAAGGTGGGCAGCCTCAAAATCCAATCAACCAATCAATCAATCTGTCAGGATGAAATGGCTGGTTTAAGCCTTTTCCAAAACATTTAAAAATCCTGAATCCCTCCCAAAAGGTTAAGCTGATTCTCTCATTTTGGAGAGACAATAACAAAATAGGAACTTCAAGGCTTTGAAAGGGTTTAGACATCTTAAACTTCATTTTAACACCAAGAAAATGCAAAATTGGGCATAAATATCACCAGCCACATTATTAGAAGCTCCCAAGCAGGTTATGAAGACAAAAAACATTCCCTGGTCTGAAAAAAATCTTATCTATCTAGAGGAGAAGCCCCTTCAGCCCACAGGATACCAATTTCTACTCTAAGCAATGAAATGTAGATGTAGACATTTAAAATAAAAACACATAAAAACACATGCAATTTCTTAAAACAAAACAATACTTACAGTTTTAGATGAAGGACTCAGGGGGGCTGTCTTGGCAACATTGAGGCCATCAATCACAACATCAAAAGGGGGATGTTTATTCACAAATCTCTGAAAACGTTCTAATTCCTAAAAATAGGTTTTAAAAGATAAAGAAAAATAACAAGTAACATACCTTATAGTAATCTCATAGATTAAAATTCCTATATTAAAATGTACTTGACATATGAAATATTTTCCATATTTAAAATGTATTTAAAATGTACATTCTAAAACAATAAATATTTGTCACAGATATTTAGGATAGAGTATCACTACTGTAATATGCAATGTTGAATTTAAAAAAAAATACAGAAAAATGTTGATACTGATATTCAAACTAGTTAGAATATGCCATCAACTGATTCACATCTAGTTAAATTTAAGGAACCAGAATTTACTGCTACCTCCAAATCGGTAAGCTCTGCAGCCAAGGCATATCATTTTCTTCTGTAGCAGTGGTTCTTAATTGGGGGCATATCCTGGGGGTAATGGAGCAATTTGTAATTGCTTGTTCGTTAGTCGAGGGTCCAATTTGGGACTGCTACTGCCCAGATGCTTGCATAAAACAACTGAGTCTTGTTTTTTTGTGGGGGTAATGACACCATTTGAGACTGGGAAAAGGGGTAATTGGGTCCAATAGTTTAAGAACCACTGCTCTATAGAATGAAAAATCAACTGTCCAAAACAAACGCACAGGAGAAAAGATGAAAGAAACCTCATGCAGCTTAAAGGCAAGAAGAATCATATGCCATGATTACACAAGGAAAATTTTGGAGCCTGGTATAATGTAAGCCAGTGTCTTTCCACATTGGCAACTTTAAGATGTGTGTCCACACATCTTAAAGTTGCCAAGGTTGAGAAACACTGCTGTAAGCAAAGAATTAGAAGGCACAAACACAGCTGAACTTAAGTAATTAGGCAAATATTTTGCTACAATAATATTCATTTATTTAATAAAACAATAGAATTCATGTTCTGTATTTCTGAGGACACTGTGATTATTGTAACGATAAAACTATTTTGCTGCCAGGAGGAGGAAAGCCTTCTGAACTTTTGGTTGCTTGACCCATTTACTGTAGAGGTCAAGAACAGAGGCACAAATGTCATTTTGGAGGAAAATAAGCTTAGGAACAAATGAGAAAATGCAATGTTAAAACTTTCTATGTAGGCCTAATTAGACAAAATCTAACATTAATATCAATCAGACTGAGATAAAGATGAAGTAACTCTACTGAATTCATTTGATTCACATAGGGTAGCAAAACAAGCTACTTGGATTAGGATATTATACTACAGCAGCACTCTTAGGTGTATTGTAGTTGCAGATTGTTAGTCTTGTCAATACAGTGGTACTTCGGTTCATGAACTTAATTCGTTCCATGACTCTGGTCACGACCCGAATTGGTTGCGACCCGAATCAAATTTTCCCATAAGGTTAATCCATTCTGACCCCTACAAATTTGGTCGCCAACCGATTTTGGTTGCGACTCGAATCAAATTTTCCCATAAGGTTCAATGTAATTACAGTTAATCCGTTCTGAAACATATGTATTTTTTTTTTTAAAACCACAAAAATATGACACAACGTACAGTACGAAGAGAGAGAACGCTAACCTTGCTTGACGTGACTTCTGGCATGGAGGACAGGAAGGCGGGTGGGGAGGCGGTTATTGCTTGGAGGGAGAGTCCTCCTCCCTACAGGAAGCCACGACTATGTGTCATGGCAGGGAAAATGGCCGCGGATCCTGTTTGTCACCCGATCCGGCGTTTGCGAACGGAAGCAAAATTTTGCGAGCGGTGCTGTTCGTGACCCGAATTGGTTGTGAACAGAAGCGTTCGTGACCTGAGGTACCACTGTATTTGATGTAATTTTTTCCCCCAGAGCATTACCAAATTCCTCTAATTACCTATCTGGGAGATTTTAAGGTAAACTGTTGTAATCTGTGGCAAATAAGGTATGCTTAGTGACAGATCCTGCCTAAACATCTACAACATTTCAAAGCTCCCCACCCCCACTCCTACATATTAAATTCTGTATTAGACAGCAGAACTCTGCAAAGCATTCAAATGATATTTTATGAAGCACCATTCCTTGAAGCACTAAGGCAGCTATATTCTCTGGAAGGCTCAGCGCAACTGCTTTGAATGCTATCCCAGATTGTCTGCATGCACATGCAGGCATTTCCATGGGGACCATCTCTGCAGCAGCCGTGTATGAATACACATATGCAGAGATAACCTGGAAAAGCTCCTGAAGTAGCAAGCACTCCAGTGCTTTCAGAACAGAGCTTAACAGTTCCCATATAATAGACAACCCTTTCCTAACCTTTGCATTTATTTAGTTCCTTGTATACTTGATTCTGTTTTTGTTATTCACATCTCCTCTTTAGGTTTTTATGAGAAGTCTTGACCTAGCTTCATCATTTCAGAAATTTTCCACTGAGCCATTAAGCTTGACTCCCAAATGTATATCTATTTGGGGTTCAAATCTAGCATGTTCTCTTCTCACATTTCCCTTTGTGTAAAGGTCTTCTATTCTGACACTATTATGACTGGCAATTGCCTGTTTTAAATTTTCTACATTCTTGCCCTGGGAAATATGTAGCTACTAATAAATCCCTGACAGGAATAAAGTTGAATGGAATGATAACCAAATATTGTCCCAGACTGTTTAGAAAAATGGGTGCCCCTGGAGTGGGCAAGGATGCACTGTAAGGAAGAGGGGAAGGTTCTCATAACCAATTTGTAATCCAAACATCAGGTTTCTCATATACAAGAGACAGTGTTCTCAAAACAAACATCCATCTACATCAATATCAACTTCCTGAAAATCTGCCAAACCACACATGGACTATCAGAGAGAACCAATCACAAAGGCAGCATGATTTCCTTGTCATCAAGCTGGAATACAATTATGCCTTCCAAGGTTAGAAGGTATAAAAAGAAAAGGTGAAAATCTCAGTATCTGAGAGATAAACAATCCAACGAAGTATTTGAAGAGGCTAGACACAATAGAAGCTCCCACCACCTTCCTCTTCTACGATTAGCTACCTTAAGAGCTGATCGCCCCAAGAGAAAACTGTATCTAACAACTTTTACTCTGATGTGGTGATAAAAACATGACTGACTGAAGGAACAGAGATTTACTGCTATTTAAGAATGGAGCATGAGTGAAGTTTCAGTGTTGTACTATCTGGCTGTCTTATGCTTCTAAGATTGTTGTGGTCCAACCCAAACATATGTTTCAGATATTGCCAGCTCTCTGCTTGAAATGAAATGTGACTGTTTCATTTCAAACATGGACTGAAACACAAGGCAGAAGTAGGTTGAGGGGGGAGGGGGGAGACTGGGGGAAGGAAGAGTATAAAAAAGCCAAGGGCATTGGCAGTGGCTGAGGGGAAAGACAGAAGGGACAAAGACAGACAGACAGACACTGGGATGACCAGGGACGGGCAGGCTGGTAGAATATGTCATGTTGTGAGCCTGTTTATTAATGCTGCAACCATCCAAATAAACTGGTAAGGAGGGAAGGAAAGGAGCTGGGAGTTGGGTCAATGGGGTATGCCACACTAAGTCAGCAGCAGCAGCAGCAGCAGCAGCAGCAGCAGCAGCAGCAGCTGAGGTCACCATGGATGAGAGGGAACGGATGGGAAGATCAGGAGAGAAGTAGACAAGTTGGATATGTGGTGCTGGAGTACCAGCAGTGGCAGTGGCTAAGGGAAGAAAGGCACTCAAAGATGAACAGGTAGGTTGATGGGCTTTGCTGCTCTGGGACCTGCTAAGGGAAGGAGGGTAGCAAGGGGGTGACATACTTCAGCCTCACCCTATTCACTACATCAGGATTTTGCTTCATATATAATTTGGGGGGAAATGTGGTTCTGCTAAACCATGGCGGACCCAGAATGCAACAGTCTGTTCCGGGTCCAAAATAAAACATTTTGGTGTTATATATTGTTGCTTGTTTATTCAGAGGACAAGTACATAATGAACACATAAATTTTATGTAACAATAATATCTTTCAGTTGTTTCTCTTTAGAGAGTTACATCAACAAAACTCCTCAATGCTAATAAACTAAAAAAAAATGTTTGGCTTGTCACAAAGTGCTGCCAAACCCTCTTTTTTCTTTTCTATGTATCTCCTTTTCCTTTCTCTATTTTTATTCTGTCCAACTGTCAACTCTCTCTCTCTCTTCTTACTCCACCTCTAAGCTAAAAAAAGAACACTCCTGCTGGATAAGGCCAAGATCCATTATAGTCCAGCATTTTGCCCCTGGTATGATCACAAACAGGATAAAATATTCATTTCCTCTTTATTTGTATATCTTGTATTTCCTACAAGAGCTCAAGGTGGTTTCCATGTGGATGTCTCATTTTAGCAATTGTTTGAGGTAGGCTGTGCTAGGAGAGAATGAATGACCTAAAGTTCCCCAATGGATTTCCATGGCCATGACTGGACTTGAACCTGGGTCTGTTCAAAGCCTCCCCAATCTTAGACCAACAATTTAACCAATACACTCCTCAAACTCCACTATACCACACTAGTTCCACCATGCTATGCCTTTTCCTTCACTTTTCTCCTACGACTGGTATAAGGAGGCATGCTTCCTGCATCTTGGATATAACATTGCCTTTTCAAGACAGATAGCCTTTAACAGATTCATCCTCTATGAATTTATCTAACTCCTTCAAACACCATCAAAGTTAGTAACCATCACCACATTTTGATGTAAAGAAGTCCACAGGTTAATTATGCAATCTATGAAAAAATATTTTATCTATACTAATATCTTTTCAATTAGCTTCATTGATATTCTTGATCCTAGTGACTTCCAGTGGAGGCATTGCTAGCTAAACATGTCTCCAGGAGAGCGGAGATGACTACCGTGGCAAAGACCAGCTCTTTAGAACCTCTCTGGACAAGGAGAGGATGGAAGATTCCCCACATGCGCTCCAGATGGCTGCTCTTCCCAGAGAGCAGGTTTGAACACCGGGAGACAAAGGGACCAATCATCAAGCTCACAACCACGGTGGAGCCTTTTAAAGGGCACTAAGTTTGCTAACCTCACTTCAAATCACATCTGGAAAT